GCAAGAAGGTACATTAGATAAAAAGCTGGCTTCATACAATAATAATAATAATAATAATAATAATAATAATAATAATAATAATAATAACAAGAACAACAACAACAACAACAATAATAAAGTTGGAAGGGACACTGGAGGTCATCTAGTCCAACCCCCTGCTCAGGCAGGAAACCCTATACCATTTCGGACAAATGGCTGTCCAGTTTCTTCTTAAAAACTTCCAGTGTTGGAGCATTCACAGATTCTGAAGGCAGGTTTTTCCACTGATTGTTTTAACTGTCAGGAAATTTCTCCTTAGTTCTAGGTTGCTTCTCTCTTTGATTAGTTTCCACCCATTGCTTCTTGTCCTGCCTTCAGGCACTTTGGAAAATAGCTTGACTCCCTCTTCTTTGTGGCAGCCCCTGAGATATTGGAATATTGCTATCATGTCCCCCCTCATCCTTCTCTTCATTAAACTAGACATACCCAATTCTAGCAACCGTTCCTTATATGTTTTAGCTTCCAGTCCCCTAATCATCTTTGTTGCTCTTCTCTATACTCTTTCTAGAGTCTCAACATCTTTTTTACATTGTGGTGACCAAAACTGGATGCAGTATTAAGTTGGTAGCTTAATGGAGACAATCTTCTATGGAGATTGTCAATCATCCAGGTCATGGTTCTCCCAAAGGTGCTTTTCAAAAGGCTTTTTTTGTTTTGTTTTGTTTTTCTTGAAAACTGAAGAAGCTTCTTGGATGAGAAGCAAAACATTCCCAAGGGGAAAAAAAACAAGAAAGTCCAATTGCCTTTTGAAAAGCACCTTTGAGACAAAATCAGTGGCTTGTTTTGCAATTATGTTGAACCACAATTTCAGGTCATGCTTTGCTGGCCTACCAAATTCACAAGTTGCTGTGATGTATAGATTGGAAAATGTTTTGTTTTGGGCTATCTACATTGCTCCTCAGCTGTTTCTGTGTCTTGCCAAAACTCTCAAATCAATCTGCAGGACCATGAGACCAGAGCAGCTTGAAAAGTTAGACAATGCAGTCACTTGGAAGATCGGCTTGGGATGTGTTCTCAGATTTTCCAAAAACAGTGATTAAAATGACAATGTAATGTATCGACTGAGCACATCAATTGAGTACATAGGACATTTCCCACTTGTGAAAGTTATAAATCCAGTGACTATGGAGTTATGGTTACCAAAAGAACTGAAGCGAGTTCACCCAGTTTTCCACTGCAGCTTGTTGAAACCATTCAAAAAGTCCAGCTTAAGACCAGAGGCAGAGGAACTCCCTCCTCCTATACTGGTGGAGGGGGAGGAGCATTATGAAATTAAGAGAATACTAGACTCAAGGATTTCTAGGGCAAAGTTACAGTACCTAGTCCAGTGACTTATATGTCATTGATGAAGGTGCTGAAACTGGAACTCTTCCTCAACCTGGTGTCCCCTAGACCAGACATGTCAAACACAAGGCCCAGGGGCCGGATGCGGCCTGCGACATGGTTTCATGTGGCCTGCGAAGCCATCCTGGAAACAGTGAGGGAATGGCCCCCGCTGCCTTGGCAATGTACAATTTTGTGGTGGCCATCTATGCTGAAACGCATTCAGTCTTAGCTCCATAAGCCCCCCCCCCGCATGGCCTGAGAGGAACAGTGAGGCTCCTCCAGTGGACCATGCCTTGGCGCTTGCACCAGTCCCACCCCCTTCTGCTAGAGACCCTCAGATCTGTCCCAATCCTGCCCTGCCTAGACACCCTTGATGCGAACGGTGTAGAGCTGGTCACACCCACTCCATCCACACCCACCCAGTAGGCCACACCCACCCTGCCACACCCATCCTGCCCCCTGAGGGAAACCTCAATGCTGATGCGGCCCTCAATGAAATTGAGTTTGACACCCCTGCCCTAGACGTTTTGGGTGTCAAATACTAATTGAAGCTAATATGAAAAAAACAGCCTGAAAAATTTTCTTTGATCTGCAGTGGTTTTTCACGCATGGGAGGAATGACTAGTATTCATATCAGAAAGTGACAAACAAGCAGGTATGAATGTTAAGACTGTAAAATACATACCACAATATTATTATAGCAAAGTGTGATATTGAGCCAGTTTACCAGAGAGACAGTTATATATGAAAATACAAAACAGGGGCACAGAAGTGGAATATATGCTTAGGAAAAAGTTTGGTTTCAAAGTCAGATGTCATATACCAATTATAGTCAGTACAGGAAAAAAAGATAGAAGAGTTGCTGACTAGCTATATCTGGGGGAAATTCCTTTCCTGGTCCGATTTCGTCGTGACAGAAAGTTAACCTACACTGGTAAGTTGTTAGAAACCTATTGCATACCTCATTGAAGAAGGCAAAAGGAAATTAAAGGGTAAGAGATAAACTGCTTCAGGAGCAGGTAGGATTTCCAGTCAAAAGACATCATGCAGATATTCTATCTCTTCTTAATGGGTTCATGTGCAAAAATAAGAAAAAATAATGGAATGAGCAATGGGAAATAATGGAAGTGGCAGAACAATTCATCTAGTTACAACTTTATTTAGGAATATATCAAGGTTTCCAGATTCAATGTGGACTAGTCACCCATTACACTGTATTTAGTCTGACTAGAGCACAGGTGTCAAACTTGCCGTGTCACATGACGTGTCATGACATATCGTGACTTTTTTCACATTGCCGGACCTGGGCTGGGCATGGCCTCTGCAGGATGCAACTGGCCTGTGGGCCGGCAGTTTATCACCCCTGGACTAGACCATCCATAGTGCACCCACACTATGAATACCCAGCCTTGCTATGAATTAATGTTCTTTCTCTCTCCCCCCCCCATACATACACACACACACACACACACACACATATATACACAAACACATACACACACACACACACACACACACACACACACACACACGTATGGCAAGAGAGAGAGAACAGATTACACCAGAAGCATTTCAAATGATGAAAAACAATAAATCAGGAGAGGCTCAAAAAATGTCTGACCCTGTTCCTGGGAAAATAGGTTTTCAAGGCATCTCAAAAAGCAGGTAGAATGAACAATATTACAATTGCATAGAATGAGTATCTTTTCAGGTAGAATGGTTGAGAAAATAGTTGGACTACATTTATACTTGCAGAGTTCCTTGGATAAATCTGGACTCTTACGTGAAGCTGATGTGAAAGATCACATCAATGTGCTCATGATACCTAATTCCGTTCTGCATGAGTCCGTTTATGAGAATCATCTGGAAACTTCAGCAGGGCAACCTCCAAAGAACCAAGGAGTTATATGTGCATCAAGTTCTGCCTGTTTACTGCAGAGGCTGCAATGTCTAGCTGTTACCTTCTAGATAAAATGCTCTGTGCTGGTAGTCACATTTACCATCCTATATGTCCACTCTCTTAAACTGAATCTGCCTGGGGAGTAAAATTTGGAAGGGATGGTTGGCCAAGAGCTTTGCAACCAAAGGAATGTCTTCTTCAGAGATCCCAGGTTTAAGATTTCTCAGTGATGATCCTTCTCCTTTGGACAGCATATCCTAGAAACTGGGAGACCATGAGTTCTAGTCTCATCCTAGGTACGAAGCCAGTCATTTCCTTTCAGCCTTAGGAAGAAGACAAGAGCAATCCACTTCCAAAATCTTGCCAAGAAAACTGCATGGACTATCCAAGCAGTCACTACAAGTAGATACTGATTCAAATATGGCAGGTTATAATTGTATTAATTATTGTTGTTATTAATCTTCTGATAATGAACCTGCTTCAATGATAAATCCATTTTTAAAATCTCTATCTATCTATCTATCTATCTATCTATCTATCTATCTATCTATCATCTATCTATCTTCTATTCATTTTAATGTATGCTGATTAGTGTACATAAAGTTTCTATTTTATTATTATTATTGATCATCGCACAGTCAGCCAGATGTTCAGACTGGATTTGGCATTTTCTCTACCTATCGAGTCCTTACCCAGGACCTGGGATAGGCAGATGTGGATGTTTGATGGTATTACAGATATTGTCGCAGGATGGAAGTAGTTCCTAGTAAGGCCGCCTTTTGCAATTGACTAATAGCGAATTTGTCAATGCCAATGGTGTTCAATTGGTGCTCCAGTTGTTTTGGGATTGCACCCAAGGAGCCTATTACTATTGGTACTACCCTTGCTTGCTTTTGCCACAGTCTTTCTATTTCTATTTGTAGGTCTTTGTATTTTGTTATCTTCTCCAGTTCTTTCTCGTCTATTCTGCTGTCTCCAGGCACTGCCATGTCCATTATCCAGACTTTTTTGTCTTTCTTATCGACAATTGTTAAGTCTGGGGTGTTATGTTGCAACATTATTATTATTATTATTATTATTATTATTATTATTATTATTATTATTATTATTTTCCCTCTGGAAATAGAGGGTGATATAGTTTACAGTAAATCTTTTGACAGGAACATCTTTCATAACATATAGATGTTCCTGGAATATATATAAACTTTATTACTTTCAAATATTTTACAGTCACATTCCAATCTATTTTTCTTTAAATGTATCTCAGTGGTACCCTGTAGGAGTAGAGCAGATTGAGCTGGAAGGTAGACTACATGTCATTAGTTTGGAGTCATTGCATTGCCACAAGAGACCCAACTCCAGCTCCCCATAAATTATGCTGACTCTTTATCTAGTGCCAATTTATGAGGGCAATTCGGAAATAAACTTCCATTTGATTATCAATGACAGACACTCTCAGATACAGAACTTTTATTATACACATTAGAAAACTACATTATTTTTTGACATAATCGCCATTCAAATTAAGGCACTTGTCATAACATCTTACAAGGTTTGAAATTCCTTAGTAGTAGTCACTCGGCGCCAAATTTGAGCTATGGTGTGTGTGTGTGTGTGTGTGTGTGTGATCAAAAACATCCCAACAGAACTGCTTCAAAAGTTATTGGGTGCGTCTAGACGTGTGAGCAAGCATTATCTTGAAACACCACCACACTGGAAATGGTGCCATAGAAAATCCCGCCAAATGTGAAGATGCCAAAGGAGTACTGCTAGTGAAGTTCATGGAGCGTGGTTCAACCATCAGTTCAGAAGTCTACTGTGAAACATTACGAAAACTCAGATGAGTCATCCATAACAAGCTTCGGAGTATGCTGACTTCCAGTGTTGTGATTGTTCATGTTAATGCTCACCTGCACACCAAACGCACAAGTTTATTTCCAAATTGCCCTTGTAGCTTTGAATGTTGACTAGATTCTTGTGTGTAGGTAGTAATAATAAACTCTTCTGTGCCTTGAACTCAACAAATTCTCTTGGTTATTTGCATTGGACATATCCAAGTATGAATGACTTCCCGGTACCCTTACAAAGTGTTTGCAGAGTTTTATTCTAAAATTTCCCATCTATACAGTATATCATGCTTGTAATAGTAAAAGCCTTCATCTGCCATCTGTCACTTCCGATTTGTATTTTTAAATAGATATATCTGCTGTTTAAATTACTAGTACTATGTTTTCATGAACTACCTTGCTCATATGTGTGTGTTCCTTAGTGTACTGTAATTCTGTAGACCTAATTAAGATACATCTTTGTAAATAATGTGGATGTGTGAACAAATTAAGAAAAAGAGTAATTGACATGTGCCTTTATTTTTCTTGGGTTGCTCTTGTCTGTATGGAGCAAATATTATAAAATATTATTCCAACTGGTCTCTTACTCTTTGCATATAGAACACTATCAGGTGAATGTTGGTGGAATTTCAGATGTAGGTATGCTGAGAGTGTATCTAGCAGTTCAAAACTACACAGCAATTCCATTTGCCCAGCAATATAAACATTTCTGCACTAGCCTGTAAAATGTGAATCAAAAGCCCATCCTTGCTGACCCCTTTATCTTGCAATGTGGCTTCATTGTGGAGCTAAAATAGAAGAATTGGTTTTAATAAATTGATGGCACTACTATCTGAACATATAATCATCTTCAGATTTCCTTCAGGTTAAAAAGTTGGGTGACTGAGCATCAGAATAATCTACCTCTAGTGACGCCCACTTTCCCCAGCTGTATAATTATCTGTGATGCTGGAAAACCCCTGTAAAATAGTTTTCGCTGTAAACAGAAAGTACCAAAAATTCCACCAGTTTTGCATTGCAAAGCCGTGGGTAAAGATTTGAGTCAAATCTCACGTCTGTGGCTTTTGTGGGAGGGTGCCTCTCAGAATTACTGTTATCCACTATCAAAAAGGGAAATCTGCATGTCATGTCTGAATAAGATTAGGGAAATCTATGGTAAAGAATATCTTCCCATCAGTTAAAGCCCACATCTCTCTGTGGCCAGCCAAGCTTGCATTCCTTTCAAGGTAGACATTTTGCAAAAAACACACAAAAGAGAAATTGGCAGAGGAAAAATGCCAGTGTAGTTTCATAAAGGTAATTCTGGGCTGCCAATGTGCTTCTCAGTGGAGGACTGCAGTCAAATCATTATGTGGGAAACCAACATATACGTAGTACAGCTTCCTTTGATGCTCAGGAACATCAGCACCCCAGGCTGCACGTTTTAAAAGATGTATAAATTTATCAGCCTTAAATGAATATTAATTCCCATTACATTATTATGGTCTGTTAAGCTTAATTTCTTCTTTGGGCTATACCATCGTAACTCCTGCAAGAAACAGAAGAGGCAAATGCTATGCAAGATATTTTCTCTTTTTCTTCTGAGGGTGAATAATTTGGGCCACGATCGCTTCCTGTGTGGCACAGTGCTCATCACTTCATGATCTGTTCCTGAGTAATAGGATGTATTTATTTAATTTTAACATGCTTTCCATTTAAAGTAATCTGAAATATAATAAAATTTGCAAGAATTATAGCATGACACACATAAAGTGAAGATAATACCATTTGTTTTTCTTTGAGAAGTGCCAATATCCTTTTTTAATTTCTTGGCAGATTCAGAAATATTCAAACCTCAAATGAATCCTGACAAGTGGCAGAGTATTAGGTCCAAGGATTTGATGTTATTCAATGGCAACCTAACCCAGTACTTGTGTTCTGGTTAATAAAAAAAAAAAGTCCAAAACCCAGCCAAGTAAATGGCCAAAGTGAAATTGAGAAATAGTAGCCTTTTTGCAGCACAGTGTAATTAATTCATGTTATGGTATATTATGGCATTTTCTCTGTTTTGACTTTTTTGACTAGACTTCTGTATTAATGTCCAAAAAGGATTCTGTGTTGTGACTCTTGGACTAATAAACTGATTGTGCCAACTTGAGTTGGAGACCCCAACATAGATGAAGGTATAGGGCAAATTCTTAGGTGGAGTCTCCAGTGAATCAACTGTGTGTATTTGACCTCTAAGGAAAGGCTCACTCTTCCATTTCTGTTACCATCTCATTCAGTCTCTACTAAAATATGTTAGGATATTTTTATGCCATACACATACTTCAAAATTAATTCTTAATTGTGGGGAAGGTTTCCTGGAGCTCAGAAAGGTCTATACACACCAAACCTTCCAACATTTGAGTTCCAGGGGTCCATCATACAAACAGATAACATGATCCTCCAAAAAGATGACCACTCCAGGTATGAGAGATATTTCTGACTCAGTAACCCAGCCAGCCTACATTTCTCCCCTCAACCAGTGCACATACTATACCAAAACTGGTCCTCAGTTCTCGCCTGGGTATCCAGAGGTAAAATCACTCACTCCTCTTACAGATAGAGTGAGCCAGGACTCCTTCCCTGTTCTCAGCACCAACACTTCGTTTGGGCAGCTTCTACCAAAAATTTCCAAACCAAAGAACAATAGTGATCTTGACATACACTTTATAATAATAATAATGATGATGATGATGATGATAAAAATTGGAAGGGACCTTGGAAGTCATCTAGTCCAACCCCCTGCTCAGGCAGGTAACCCTATACCATTTCAGACAAATGGCTGTCCAGTCTCTTCTTAAAAACTTCCAGAGTTGGAGCATTCACCGCTTCTGGAGGCAGGTTGTTCCACTGGTTAATTGTTCTAACTGTCAGGAGTTTCTCCTTAGTTCTAGGTTGCTTCTCTCCTTGATTAGTTTCCATCCGTTGCTTCTTGTCCTGCCTTCAGTTGTTTTGGAAAATAGCTTGACTCCCTCTTCTTTGTGGCAGCCCCTGAGATATTGGAACACTGCTATCATGTCCCCCCCCCCCTTGTCCAGCTCTTCATTAAACTAGACATACCCAATTCCAGCAACCATTCCTTATATGTTTTAGCCTCCGGTCCTCTAATCATCTTTGTTGCTCTTCTCTTTTTACATCGTGGTGACCAAAACTGGATGCAGTATTCCAAGTGTGGCCTTATCAAGGCATTGTAAAGTGGTATTAATACTTCACGTGATCTTGATTCTATCCCTCTGTTAATGCAGCCTAGCATTGTGTTGGTTTTTTTGGCAGCTGCAGCACACTGCTGGCTCATATCTAAGTGATTGTCCACTAGGACTCCAAGGTCCCTCTCACAGTTGCTACTATTGAGCAAGGTACCTCCTATACTATACCTGTACATTTGATTTTTCTTGCCTAAATGTAGAACCTTACTTTTTTCACCATTGAATTTCATTTTGTTGGATAGCACCCAGTGTTCAAGTCTGTCCAGATCCTCCTGTATCTTAAGCTTGTCTTCTGGAGTGTTGGCTATTCCTGCCAGCTTGATGTTGTCTGCAAATTTGATGAGTTCCCCATCTATCCTGTCCAAATCGTTGATGAAGATGTTGAAGAGCACTGGGCCTAGAATAGAGCCCTGGGGCACCCCACTACACACTTCCCTCCATGTGGATGCAGTTCCATTGAGGACCACATGCAGAGTAGAGCCAGTCAGCCAACTACGAATCCATCTGGTGGTGATGCTGTCTAACCCACATTTTTCTATCTTATCAAGCAGTAGGTTGTGATCTACTTTATCAAATGCCTTACTGAAGTCCAAGTAAATTATATCCACAGCATTCCTCTGGTCCACTAATTTTGTCACTTGGTCAAAGAATGCAATAAGATTTGTCTGGAATGATCTGTTTTTTACAAACCCTTGTTGGCTTTTAGTAATGACTTTGTTTGCCTGTAGGTGTTCGCTGATTTGTTGTTTGATTATTTTTTCCAGAATCTTCCTAGATATTGAGGCTGATAGGTCTGTAATTTCCTGGATAGATTTTTCCCCTTTTTTGAAGATGGGAATTACATCAGCTCTTTTCCAGTCCTCTGGTAGTTCCCCAGTGCTCCAGGATCTTTGAAAAATATAGTTCACTGGTTTTGTGATCACTCTGCCAGTTCCTTGCGAACCTTGGGGTGCAATCCATCTGGTCCTGGTGATTTAAACTGGTCTAGACTGGACTCACTTACCATTTTCTTGCCTATCTTGTGTTTCTAATCTATTTCTTACGGTACTGTTTTTGATAGGTTTTACTGTTTTTTCCCTTTGTGTAAAGACAGAGCAAAACATGAGTTAAATAGTTCTGCTTTCTCCCTGTTGCTTGTCACCTTCTTGCCACTTTCCCCCACTAATGGACCAATCATTTCCTTCACTTTTTTCTTGTTTTTTACATGTTGAAAGAAGCTTTTTTTGTTATTTTTGACTTTGGTCGCAAGCCTTAGTTCATTTTGAGCCTTGGCTTTCCTCACTTCATCTTTGGAGGCTCGGGCTATTTGCTGATATTCTGACTTAGTTATGTGCCCCTCTTTCCACTTTTTATACTTGTCCTTTTTATCTTTCAATTTATCAGAGAGTTCTTTATGCAGCCATGGAGCTTTCTTTTGAAAGCTGTTATTTTTCCTCTTTGTTGATATTGTGCTAGACTGGGCTTTTATTATCTCACTTTTCAAAATTTCCCAAGCTTCTTGAGTTGTTTTTCCCTTGAGGATTCTCATCCATGGAATCCTTCCTAAGCTCTCGCTAAATTTATTGAAATTAGCTCTCTTAAAATCCAAGACTCTGGTTTGACTGTGTTCTATTGTTTGTGCTTCCATAATGTTGAATTCCAATATTGCATGATCACTTCCCCCCAAGGTTCCTGTGGCTTCGACACCTTTTATAATTTCATCGCTGTTAGTGAGGATTAGATCCAATATGGCTAATCCCCTAATTCCCTTCTCTACCTTTTGGGAGGCAAAGTTGTCTGTTAGATTTGTCAGGGATCTGTTTGATCTTCCACTTGGTGTAGAGTTTGTCTTCCAGTTGATATCAGGGTAATTAAAGTCCCCCATTACTATGGTGATATGCTTCCTACATAGCTTAGTTGGCTGACTATCAAAAAGTTCATCTATTTCCTCTATAGCAATGTCATCCCCCCCCCTTTTATATTAACCCAAATGCATTCAAGATAGTTTTCATCACTGTTGTGCTCTATTTCTGTAGAGATGTAGTTATTTCTTATAGAGAGCAAGTCCCCCTCCTCTTTTATTTGGTCTGTTTCTTTTAAATAATTTAAATAAATGAAATATTAGGCTCAAGATCATTTTATAATCCATCATCCATTAATAATTTGATCCCAAGAATGGAAAACGCTGTTGTACTTGATGGTAACTATGCCCAATGAAAAAGAAAATAGTTTTTGCACAGTTACTATTTCAGAGCTGGCCAATGCAGGGTTGTGATACATTGTTTAAATAGTCTACAAGGCCGCATATCAGTCACCACAACACTGTTTATCAAAACCAAGCCCACCCAAAATAGTCTGTCATTTGAAAGGGCACGATTGTTCAGTCAGACCAATTATTACTGACCTTATGATAGTGAGGTAATGTCTCCAAATTCCAAGCCAGTTAAATGTTAGGGTTTTTTTTTTTTAAATGTACTGGTCCTCATGAGCTAGTGTAAAGGAAGAAAAGCAATAGAAGGAAAAATGTTAATCAGATTTTTTTTGGTTTAATTCAGTAATTCAGGGGGAAAAAACTTGATAAATTTCAAATGAATTAGAGACTTTCTAATTCTGCTTATGGCCAAAACCAGAAAATTTTTTCAACTAAATTTTTTTAAAGGACACTAAGTTTACAGATATCACTTTTCTAATCACTTTGTAAATTGAATATTAACCGTTTTAAAGCTATTAGAGACCTTCAGAATAATAAATTTGAAACGTCCTTATCAAATGAGTTTATCTTCAACTCTGAACAAAACAAAAAAATATTTATAAGCCTAAGAACGTAAAGAATCTGAAATATACAGCCAAAGGTTAAGCAAAATGTTGATCTTAGAAAATTATAAATGGACAAAATTTCCAGATAAATTTGGAATATTGAAAGTTTTACAATAATACTTTAGAATTTATTGTAAAGAAAAATAGCTTCTTGTGGGAAATAGATCTGTTTTGGTTTTGGGAAGATGTAACATAGAGAAGCAATTTTATAATTTAACCACTGAATACTAGAGGGATGTCAGACTTTGAGTTAAAAATACTAGCGTATAAAATATAAAACCTTATAAAAGTGAAAATTCTAGGGGAAGTTTTTGAAAAATAGAGTCAAAAATTAGGAGCCAGAACAGCAACAATGTCAGTATGATGTCTGCTTCTACAGATACAATATGTCCAAAAGATGTTACTGAAGAAATAAAAGTTGTAAAAATAAATTTTATCTGACAAGATAAAGATGGTATTTAATCATACAATCTTTAATTAATTCAGATTCTGAATCCAATTCCACTAAAACCCCATAAACCCTCTTGATGTGAGTTTGTCTTTGATCCTTTACTTGTTTAAAAAGATTTTCATCTTCTCTAAGCCAGCCCATATTACAATCCGTCTTCCATCTGTCCACTATTTGTCTATATTGAAACCATGAATAGGTAATATTTTCATGTACTAAATCTTCCAAAGATTTTAGCTGCCAGTTTTGGCCATCCCATCTAAGTAGTTGTGTATAAGAAACCCTATCCATTTTAACTCCTCTCCTTATCCCCTCTATCGCATGCCAAGGTATAGCCCATAAAGGTATTTTAAAATCACTCTTATAATACTTCCTCCAAACCCGAAGTAAAGAAATCCTTATAATATGTGATTTAAAAACTCGATCCACTTTTTTATTAAAAATTAAGTAGGCATGCCATCCAAAAAGTAAATCCCAACCCTCCAGATGGAGTATATCTACATTTGTTAAATTTACCCAATCACTAATCAATGTTAAAGTCACAGCATCATAATATAATTTCAAATTCGGTGCCTTGAGTCCCCCTCTCTCACGAAAATCTTGCATAATTTTAAGCTTTACCCTTGGTTTTTTCCCTGCCCAAATAAATTTATTAATGCCTTTCTGCCATTCATTTAAATTAAGCTCATTCTTTAAAATAGGTAACATTTGAAACAAAAAAAGAAATTTTGGTAGGACATTCATTTTAATAACTGCAATTCTACCCATAAGAGATAACTGTAACTTGTCCCAATTCTTCAAGTCCTTCTGTACCCTGATCCACAACTTTTCATAATTATCCTTATACAGTTTTGCATTAGAAACAGATAACGTAACCCCCAAATATTTTACCTTATCAACAACTTCAAAATCTGTTAAATTAACCAAGATCTGTTTATCACGACTAATCATGTTTTTAGGTAATATTTTAGTCTTATTATTATTAATTTTAAAACCCGAAACACAACCATATTGATGAATCAATTGTAATAACTTTACTACAGAGTAAGTAGGTTGAGACAAAGTAACCACCAAATCATCTGCAAAAGCTCTTAACTTATATTCTTTTTTGTTAACTTCTATTCCTTTTATTTCTTGCGACTCCCGAATTTTAATCAGCAAAATTTCCAATGTTAAAACAAACAATAACGGAGATAATGGACATCCCTGTCTTGTACCTTTTTCTATTGTAAAGACCTCTGACAGACCCCCATTAACAATAAGTTGAGCAGTCTGTTTTTGATATATGGCACATAAAGCTTGTGATATTTTTTCTCCAAAATTCATCTCCTTAATTAAACTTAACATAAACTGCCAATTCAATTGGTCAAAGGCTTTTTCAGCATCCAAAAATATCAGCCCTGCAGGAATTTGGTTGTTCTTATCTAAATATTCTAATAAATTAATGATTTGTCTAACATTATTTTTCATATACCTTCCAGTTATAAAACCCGATTGATCCTTATGTATAAACTGCTGCAAAACCCCCATAAACCTATTAGCTAAAATTTTTGCAAAATTTTTATAATCCACATTTAAGAGAGATATAGGCCTATAATTCTTAGGCAGAGTGAGATCTTGATCCTGGTATTGAAAATAATTTACAACTGACAGTCCAAGAAAATGACTTGGAAAATGATATTTCACTAGATTTACAAAAGAAATGTCTGATGTTTTAAAATTAAAAAGGAAAATACAAATGATAAATCCAGAAAATGACTCGAGAAATATTTTTCTACTGGACTTACAAAAGAGGCTTGTTAAAGCCTTGAAGAATTCTGTATGATGGAACAAAGAAGAAATGATCATAAATCAAATCCTACAACAATAGTTGATTGAATCAAATATTAAGATTGTTAAAAGTAAAAGGAAGATATATAAAGTTGGCTCATTTGATTAAGACTAAAACAAGGTATGTTGTTACTTCTTGAAACCCTTTTTAGACTTTCTGCTGACAGCAGGACTGAAAAGATAATGTTTGATGCATTTATTTATAGACTGAAGTCATCAAATGTATCTTTACTTGTTGTGGTGAATATTCGAAGTCTCTTCTTTATGCTATATATTTCTTTTCCCTTTTTTATTTTATTCTTATGTTTGGGATTGCACCTAGCACTATTGTTATTAACAATAATATTATCAATAGTATAAAGATTGGTACTATCTTTGCTTTCTTTTGCCACAGTCTTTCTATTATTTGGAGGTCATTTGTAGATTTTGGCTTTATACAATTCTTTCTCTTCTATTCTGGTGTCTCCAGGTACTTCCACAGTGCCACATCCACTATCCAGACTTTATTGTCTTTTTTATCAACAGTTATTAAGTCTGGGATGTTATGTGTCAGGTGCTCATCTGTTTGAATTCTAAAGTCCCTAAACACTCGAGTTTCTTCATTTTCTAATATGTTGTCTCTTTTGTGGTCCCACAAGCTTTTGCTAATTTGCATTACTACTTTGTCATGCCATTATTTGTAGTCAATCTGTGCAATCTTATTGCAGCAGCTAACTAAGTGGCCCACTGTTTCTTCAGCTTTTCTGCAGAAGTGGCATTTGCTGTCTATTGCTGTTTTCTCAATTCTGGCTTTGTATGCATTTGTTCTTAAGGCTTGACCTTATGCAGCCAGAATAAGCTCTTCTGTCTCTTTTTTCAACTTTCTTGCTCTTAGTAATTGCCAGGTCTTGTTGTTACCTGCTTTCCCTGCTTTTCTTTTTTTACTGGCCTTGTAATACTTTGCCTTGCCATGCCTCTTTTCTAATCTTTATTTGGTCTCTCTGATACTCAGTAAATCTTCATGGTATATATTAGCTTCAGTGCAGCTTCTTTAGTGTCTTTCAAATATTCTTCCACTGCCCTATCTTCTTCAACTGTCTGGTGTACTTGCAGCATTCCTCTCCCATTTATGCTTATTGGTAAGTAGAGCCTTATTATTGGTAAGAAGCTGCCGTTTCTGAAAAAAAAAATAGGTGCAGAATATATTTTCAGGTAGACACTAAAGTAGCACTCAGTAATATGCCCACAAAAGGCTGTGATTAATGAGTTCCCTAATGATCAATGTATTTTGAGTAAATGGTAGGTCAACTCCATTTCCCTATCTTATAACTTTATCCTCCAGTTTTATACCGAACAAAAGCTAAAAATATATTTCTAAATCTGGGGCATAGTTTACTTCCTTTGTCAAGGCTGGTCCCAGTCGGTGTTCTTAGGGAGCAAAAGATCCAGCCCACACTTGCTGCAATGAAGGATGCCTCAGAGCTCGGTGCTCTCTCTGCTCCTTTTTAACATCTACCTGAAATCATTGGGTAAGATCATCCATCACCATGGGATGCAAGTGCCATCATTATCCAGATGACACATCCCAGTCATAGGTGAACAGGTGATCTAAGTGATTGTGGGGATGTTCTTTCTTAATGCTAGGAATTGTGGATGCCTGGATGGGGAAAAACGGCTTCAAGTAAACCCTGATAAGACAGAGTGGCTGTAAGGGTACTATTCTGTATCTGGAGGCTTTCCATCTCTGGTCCTGGATGAGGTTGAACTGCCCCAGATGGACCCAGTGGGTAATATGGTTGGCCGTTCTAGAAGCAGGTGGCAATTGCGCCTAGCTAATTCATGTTATGCATGAATTAGCTTTTTCCTAGATCAGGAAGTCTTTCTATAAGTCTCTTATGTCATGGTCATCTTCCAGACTGGAGAAGCTAGTGCAGAATGTGGCAGCATGGGCAATTATGGACATGCTTAGGTGCTGGCTTGTTTCAGGATGAAATTAAGGTGTGGTTATTACCTATATTTATTTGCTTGCCACCCATCTTGCTAATGATTTCCATGGCATAGGTCAGGTTAACCGAGGAACCATCTCATCCCTAGTACATGACCCATCCCACCCAATCTGGCAGGAAGGGGCATGTTACTTCATGAGCTAAAAAAAATTCAACTAGTGGGGTCTAGGAGAAGAGCCTTCTGTGCCATTGCTTGTGTCATGTAGAACACCTTACCCATGGAAGTGAGGTTGCCCCCCCCCATACTTTTAGCCTTTTGGAAGAGCAATAAGACCCTGCTTTGCCAACTAGCATGGGGATCCAAAAGTGATATATAGCCCTAGGCGTAGTGGATGAATTGAGCATGCTCTGTCTTTTTAAATTTGTATATTTTAAAATGATTTTATGGTCTCTTCTACTGTAAACTGCATAGGGTCACTTATACAATGAGGTAGGCAGTGTATACATTTGCTAACTAAATAACTAACTTTGGGTGAAGAATGGTAGCTCTTATCAGGACGGTCAATGTCTTCTATCAAGTGCACAAGTTGAAAAGGGACACAAATGAACAAAAAGTGATTTTCTAATAGGCAGGATCATTGAATCAATTTCAATGCATCTTAATTACATCTTTATGTACTTTTGTACTTGCACTATTAGATGTTATCATTTTAGCTATTAAATAAATGGGGGGAGGGAAACCAAACCCCAACTAAGAGCATAAATATAAAAATATAATCAATATACTTGAAACTTTTCAGCAATAGGCCATGTGTCAAAGGTTACAGTGAATGAATGTAGCAAGACTTTTGTTGCTTATTGTACTACTGTATGTCTCTTTCATGCAGATTTAAGGAGGATGCAGATAGCATTGTCTTCCAGTTTTAACATTTTCATGTTTTTATACCATCTTTTAAAATCACCCTTTGTACATGTACACGCATGGGCACCTCCTCCCCAAATACAGTTCTGATAAAGAGGGAAAGATGGAATATTTTCACAATGCTGGCTGGTCTGTCAATATGGGGTTTTCCCACTCCTGCCTCCTACTCTTGGCCTATGAACTCCCCTGACCTCTTAAGTCTCTTCTACTCTGTGTTCCATGTCTCCTATGACCTTTTTATCAAACATCTTGCCCTGCCTTTAACCTTCCCCAGCCCAGTTCTTCTTTCTCATTCATGCCTCCTCTGCATACTTCCTTCTCTCTCTAAGCTTCCCACTCTACTGCCAGGCTACTCCTCTGCCTCATGTACTCCTCTTTGAGATTTTGCTATATATATAAAATTACAAACAGAATGAAAGTAAGAGTCTACCTACAATTAAGGCAGCAATTCAAAAGACTGACAGGCTTTCATTAGAATGCTTGCTTCTCTGCAAAACAGATGGGATATAGACTTTTCCAAAAGTGGCGTTTGATAGTTATTTTGATGGGAACCAAATAGGTTAGTGCCAACAATTTGCAAGGAGAACAAAAGAGCACAATGGAGATAATGATGGTGTGCTTAAGGTAGGGAGAAGACTCAGGTTCCTGGCCATTCTCAGCCACAGAAGCTCATGGGTAACTTTCTGTCACATTCGCAGCCCAACCCACCACCTCAAAGGCTGTTGTTGTGGAGGAAAAAATAGGAAGAAGGGTGTTGCCATGAGCTCCTGTGTCAAAGGCTGGACATAATTCTAATAACAAATAAAACTCAGTTCTAAAATAAGCATTAATGCATGTAATAACCAAGTGAGACCATGAAAATCAAGTTGAATGCATCAAAAATGAAGCTTTAGGGCATAAAATTCAATGGAAGAGAGTACCCCCCAAAAAGGTAACCTTTGCCTTGTGGATATCTCTATATGAGGTTCAATTTTTGCAAGCAAGTTACTTTCCGTCCTATTATGTTTATTTACATTTATTTCCATGTTTCACAGATATTTCTAATATTACTATTATTAAAAATGGCATTTTTCCATTTATACTTGGCTTAAATTATTTCAGATTCTTGTTATTATCAATGTTTGCTAAGTGTGGCTTTTAAAAATATACAGGAACATTACCAATTTATACAGGAATACTGGAATGGACCTTTTAAGTGGTTGGATTTTGTCTAGCTCACTTAGAAATATTTGTGCTTCTGAAGGTAACCTTTCATAGCATGAACTGAACCTGAAGGCTTTCAGCATTGGTCTATCATAAAAGCATAATTCTTTCAAAAGTATTTCCAGCAGGAAAAATTATCTTACTATTATTTTATTTTAAAATTACAGATTAACAGGCACTTTGGTACAAACATTTTGCCAGAGATTCCAGAACTTCACATCCAAGCATTTTATTCCATTTGCTCATACAACAGATTTTATTTATTATTTTATAAACATTAAATAAATTCAAATTTAAGATGTTCTCATTTTCTATCAAATTATAATTAACTTAAAGGAGGGTAACTTAAATTCTAACTTCCCTTTTCCAGGTTCTGCACTGAAAAACTTCCCAATTCTTAAAAATATAGACAAAGCAGAAGTAGTCAATTCTTAGGGGCTTGAAATATAAACTTGTCTTCTGATAATAATTATATAATAATTACATTTTGTAATGTAGCACTCTATATCAAGAGCACTGCAATATCTGCGTAAATTAGTAATTATCAGTAAATGAGGTCAATAAAGAAATTTGGAAAAATAACCTTAGGAGTAAATGAAGACATGCCTTGCTTGATACCAAACTATTCAGGGTAGTTAAAAAAAACACTAACGGAATTGCAGAAAAAGGATCTTTTTATCCAGTCAACAAAACAAAAAGTGCAATTCATCTTTAGTTAAGTGTAAAATGGTAGAGCAAAAAAACAGAAAGAAGTACTTCTTCTCACCATGCATTAATTTATCTGTGGAGTTTATTGGGGCAAGATGTAGCTAATTTGAATGGCTTTAAAACAAGGTTGCATAGGTTCATGACAGTCAAGTCTAACATGGTCCCTTAGTCTCAAGAATATTACTCCTCCCTGTTGGGATCAGCAGGCCACCAAGTTCCAGGCAAACAATGTTATGCGTTCATTATCTGCTTCAAAGTTACCCAGAGGCATCTAATTATTTCCTAAAAAGCAAAATGCAGAAGTAAAATGGGCCTTGCCAAATGCAATATAATTATTCTTATAAACTTATTTTACCACAATCAAAGAATCAGTTGCTTTTAATCTACTTTTCAATCAGTCTTCCTCATCTTCTGCTGGTGAATTTACCCATTAGATCAGTAAATACTTTTTTTGTACTGAATACATTGTTTATCAGTTTAAGGAATTCATGTTACCATTATAAGATTAACAAAAACTATCATGTTTTCTTAATATGATCAAGACTTTATCTATCTCTCCTACACTTACTTTCCAACTTTGTGGACATGTCCATGCAGTTGTCTGGGTAATGATCTAGAAGTGATTTTCCACGGTATTCTTCAGGGATTTTTTTTTCCTGCATTCCCAACAAATCCTACAAGCCCTGCTATTGCTTGGTAACCTTCATCCAAGTATTAACCAGGCCCAAATTTGCCCAGCTTCTGAAGTTAAATAGAAGACTTGAAAGACAAATATAAATTAGGGAACTAGCATAGAAAAAAAAAGATTTATGCTGCAATTGTGTGAATAAAGTAAAAATGCTGAACAAAAACAAATATCTTAAGCAAATTTGTCTCTGAAATTATTAGGACAGAGAAAAGGGATTCTGTAGATGAGCTTGGAGTTCCCATTCTTTTAAGATAACTCCATGTAGAGAAAACCACATCAATCAAAAGCCTGGTTGTAACTATCAGAATACTCAGTCTGTCAGTAATACAGATAGTCCTTGACTTACAACAGTTCGTTTAGTGACCGTTTGAAGTTATAACAGCACTGAGAAAAATGACCTATGACCGTTTTTCACACTTATGACCGTTGCAGCATCCCCATGGTCATGTAATTTACATTCAGACGCTTGACAACAGGTTCAAATTTATGATGGTTGCAGTATCCTGAATCATGTGATCACCTTTTGTGACCTTCTGACAAGCAAAGCCAATGGGGAAGCCAGATTCACTTAACAACCATGTTACTGATTTAACAACTGCATTAACTCACTTAACAACTGTGGCAAGAAAAGTTGTAAGATGGAGCTTTGGCCAAAAGTAGGTTAAAACTTTTTGGAAACCAGTAGGTCAGACACAATTTGAATACTTCTTCATATTTTTTTCCTAAAGAAGAGATATTAGAAATAAAGTATCATTTGGCCATCAGCTGGCATCAATAATACGCATTCCTTGGATTAGGCAAGGTATCCAAACTATACTGTTTTGGGCTTCATATATTCTGTGTATCTAACTCTAGCATGCCACAGATAATTGTAAATGATTTGGCAGTACTCAGCATGTGCATAGTGGACAGGACCATTCATGTGCTTAACTAAATATTAATCTGTTCTCATTTTTCCAGTAGTCAAACAATGTTGTGTTACTGAAAAATGAAGCTTCATCCAAAATATATGTTTGTTTATCAAATCTATAAGACGATCCAAATTCACAGTGACTCTGGATAGCATACATTAAAAACAATAACAGCAACAATGAAAAAGTTTAAAACTGAAAAATAGTAAAACCAGAGCTGTCAACATCCAATATTCTCACACAACCTAACCTAACCAGAGAGAGAAGAGCCAAGCCTTAAAGACTTGTTTGAATGAGGTCAAAGTAAGAGTCACACAGATTTCAAGGTGGATGTTGTTCCAGCATACAGAGAAGGCTCACTCCCTGCATCTCCAGCAAGGTGGCACTGTTTAATTGATGGGATATATGCCAACTCTGTTGGATTGAACAGGACTGGGAGACACTATAGGAGAAAGACAGACCTTCAAATAGCCATACCCAATACCATGAAGGACTTTAGATGATAAATAGCACCTTGGTTTTCAAAACATCAAGCAACTTTTCTTCATATGCGTATTAATGAAGTTAGTCAGTTGGTGACCAGGAATGAGCATTTGTTCATATTTTTCATATTCCATATTTTCTCCTTGTACTATCAATCTGATGAACATCTAATTCTCATGGTGCTGTCTAATGTCTATGTATATTTATCCATGTATGATGGCTGTAGTATTATCATTTATCCTTATTATCTTCTTTACTCTCCCCTCTTATTTGGCATTATCGCAATGCTTATTATTATTCTGTTGCTCTGTTGCAACGGAGACAAATTCCTTGTGCGCCTAATCATACCTGGCCAAATAAAGTATTCTATTATGCCACTGCTTTTTCATTTTTATTATTTGTAAAACAGCAAAATATCCAATAATTTTTAACAGCAGAGCACCATTTGCCAGAAAAATAAGATATATTTTTTTTTTTAAAATGTCTATTTTGGAACATTTATGTGAAAAAAAAATTAAATACAAAATTTCCTCATCTCAAAACAAACATTATGGTATTAAAAAAAATGTAACCAGAAATTCAAGGGGTTTCACAAAGATAACAGTAACAGCCTTTGAAATGTTAAGACTGTTAAGAAATATATAAATGTAATAATCAGAAAGTTTTGGGTGTAAGCACCAATATTTTAACAGTGATACAACATATATGGAAGCCAGATACATACAATAACTAAATAAAATCTTCTGGATTGAAGATTATTCTTGAGTGAGAAAAAGAGCAGTTTGCTGCATCTACAAGTAGTCCTCAATTTACGACCACATCTGAGCCCCAAATTTGTTGCTAAATGAGACATTTTTGTTAAGTGAGTTTTGCTCCATTTTGTAACAGTTGTTAAGTGAATTACTGCCATTGTTAAATTAGTTAACATGGTTGTTAAGTGAATCTTTGATTTTGCTTGTCAGAAGATTGCACAAGGTGATCGCATGACCCCGGGATACTGCAACCATCCTAAATATGAGTCAATTGCCAAGCATCTGAATTCTGATCACATGACCACGGGGATGCCGCAACACTCATAAGTGTGAAAAATGGTCATAAGCCACTGTAACTTTGATCACTCACTTAAATGAACTATTGCAAGCTGAGGACTACCTATACAACATTGGGCTTCTCAAAGGTTTCAGGCTGTTTCCTACTGAACAGCAAGAACTGCCCTATTGCATGACTTGACGTAGCAATAATCCATATAATACAAGCAAAATGCATTAAGATGATCAATACAGTGACCAAACAGCCAGAATTTGCACTGCATTTATTTCTACAAAAAAGCCAGAGGTTCTTCTAACTAGGAAAGAAAAATCCCGACCCTGAAGGGCATCGATTTACGTACGCCTGTTCTACCCTTCCTTTAAGCCAGCTTCACTTTCCGAAGAAAAGCTTATTGAGCCAGGATTATTGATTTCCTTGTCAAGGGAGATCCGCCCACGAACGGGGGCGAACGAAGCACCTGCAAAGGCGTCACATCGCCGCCATCCACGTTCGTGAGTCACGCCAGCAAGCTCGGGCAAGACGCGGAAGTCCCCCCCCCTCTTCCCCGAAGCAATTTGTCAGTTAATTACTGGAGGGGGTTCTTTTTTGCGTGTGTTTGTTTTACCGTTTGGAAAATTTCCCAGGCCGTCTGGAGCGAAGAAAACTGGCAGGGGCTGGAGGGGAGGCGGGAGAGACTCTATTCTAGAGAAAGGAGTGAGGATTGGGGAAGGGGGAGGCCGAGCGTCAACCCAGACGAGCATCGCAGGGCGCAGACAAGAAGCCCCGCAGGCAGACCTGGGGAAAGGGGCGGGGGAAGAGCCCGTCGAGGGTAAGAAAGGGCAAAAGGCGGCCGGCATATAGGGCAACACGGAACATTTCTTGATCGTGAGGAGAGAGAGAAAAAAGGCTAGACGTGATGAAGGCAAAGGCCTCGCAGTCCTGGAGGGAACGCGGCATTTTAGGCACCACTCTGGTGTTTCGTTTCAGACACTTATGGCTCCAACCGCGGATTTACCGCCACCGCGGCAAGCCTCTCCCTTCCGGCTTTCTCGGAAGCCCTGAACCGCCCCAGCCGGGAGCCGTCCTCGCCACAGGCAGGGGCTGAGCTTCGACCCGAGGGGCGCCGTGCCAGGGTCGAGCGAGGGAGGAACCAAACCGACGCCAGGCACGAAGGAGCACGAGGCGCCCGCCTCATGCCCTCCCCGATTGGGGCCGCGACACGTCCGCGCCGCCCCGCCACCACCCACGTTCTCTCCCGCGCGCCCCGCCCCCCTCACGTGGCTCCGCACGCTGGCAGGTCGGCGAGGGGCAGACGGCGGAAGAGAGAGACGCAATTGCGCCACAGGGCGGGGAGGGGGGAGGCGGGGCTGTGACGTCAGCGGGAGACCTTCTTTCCTGGGTTTCCTGGGCTGGGTTTTTAAATCCGGATCTGGGTTTTTCCGGTGCCCGCCGGGGTTTCGAGTTTTTGTTTGTTTTTTAATTTTAAAAAATTATTTCTGTACGTTAAATCATATGTCTTAAACCGGTAAAACTAAATTAGTTAAAAATGGATTTATTAAAGGTTTTTTTTTAAATCTGATTTTGTTTTATGTAGAAACCTGAGATGATTTGAGCACGAAATCTTGCCGGGTTTTTTTTTTTTTAAGGAACCCCCCCCCTCTCCCCCGTTGGCAATCCTGCTTCTTTCCGGTGATTCTTGGTGAAGCTGTCCGGGGCTCTTCTTGTCTCCGACACATAGTAATAAGAGCAAAAATGTTATTCCGGACTGGTGCCTCTATTGCAGAAGGACGTGGGTAGCAAAAGAGTTCGCCTCGACTTGTGGCTGCGTGCGTGCCTTCTGCAAAGAGCGGCATGGCGGCAGCTCTTGATAATGACCTCCCCATGCCTGACAACTGATGTCACCTTAACTTTCCTTCCGTGGCCCCGGGGGACCCTCCTCCTTGTGACACGGGAGGACGCTTGACAAGTGCCTGCCAGCATAGCCGATTAATATTCAGGAGTTGTCACCGCTCCTTTGAAGGCGATAGGTTAAGGAAGGCTAGAGTTAACCCTTAGAAACAGTGGGCCTTCGATCAGTCTAGAAGCAGGGGTAGGCAACCTTGGCTCTTTTATGACTGGCTCAGGAATTCTGGGAGTTGAAGTCCACAAGTCACAAAAGAGCCAAGGTTGCCTACCTCTGGCCTAGAGAGCATGAGGTTGTAAGACTCCATACGTTTTCCCAAAGGTGCTTTTTCACGAGGCAAATGGACTTTCTTGTTTTTCTTTGAAGACGTTTCGCTTCTCATCCAAGAAGCTTCTTCAGCGCTGCCTTCTTGGATGAGAAGCAAAATGTCTTCAGAGAAAAACAAGAAAGGCCAGTTCCTCGTGAAAAAAAGCACCTTTGGGATAACTATGACCTGGATGACTGAGAATCTCCATAAACACTCCATACGTTTAACTGACTTCCAAAATACTTCCAGCGTTATTCTCAGCTGTCTCCGTCTTCGGAGGTAGAACTCTTTATAGGTCTTCTTAGCCAGGCTTAAAAGACAACATATTAAAAATTGACTTCCCAATCCCTGTGAAAGTTGCTTGCAATGGTAAATTCTTGGAAAGCAATTACTGAGGAGAGGTAGAACATGATCAGCTATGATAACATGAACTGAGCTTGTAAAGTCATGGGAACCATTCTTGATGGCAGTAGTTGGAGGCAAACAGAATAGCCAGCCAGCTATTGCTTTCTGGGGAATTCGGAGAATTGGCATCCACACATCTTAAAAATTGTCAAGGTTGAAAAACACTAGGCTAAAAGATTCTTCACCTCAGCCAGTAGCTTTCAAGAGCCATCTCCACATTTCTTCCATCCAAACAAAGATTTTAAAAGTATATTGATGTCCACCTCAATCTCCCCATATACTTTCCTAACTTTAACAGTTTGTTATGGACACTTCACTGTTAACTAAATTTTGGCAATTCAGTAATAGAGACATAGTTAGGCACTATTAATCTTAGTGAGTA